AAAAAATACAGAAAGAGGAGGAGACATTAGGTGGGGGTAGGGTAGGGAGAAGCAGAGAGACTGAAAGGTTGGAGGGTCCTCAGTAATCAGCTGAGAAATGAGGTGCCTTGGACACAAGTTATAGTGGAAGAGGTGTTTAAGGTTCTTCTGGATATGTTCTGAAGGCAGAGATTTCCTGAGAGACAGAATGTGAAATGTGTCATGAAAAGAGGACCGACAAGTGCTTGTATCTTCTTGTTAATTATGGTTGTCTGTTCTCCCTGCCTTGATGTTATCATCTTGGAACGTTGCTGACCTGGGAGAGACTGCTTCTCCCAGGGTTAGTTAATTTCTAGAGACAGCAAACAGCTTTGCCTTTCAGCAGGACCTTGATAAGCAAACCAAGTCCAGAGTCCATACCATCTGCCACCTCCTTTATTCAGGTTACTTCAGCCCTTAACACCTTCTCCCTGACTGTTTTAAATCACCTTAGGGCCAGACGCCTGACAACTGAAGACATCTCTCATATTCCAGAGCCCATGAAATTATTCAAAGTAGCCAGTCTTTTTTGGGGGTGCAACTGGTGTTTGAACTCAGGGTTTCAGTCTTGCAAAACAGGCACTCTATTGCTTGAGCCACACCTCCATTTTGCTCTGGTTATTTTGGAGATGGGGTCTCGTAAACTGTTTGCTGCAACTGGCCTCAAACTGTGATCTTCAGATGTCAGCCTTCCCAGTAGCTAGGATTAGGGAGTAAAGCACGGGTGCCTTGCTCAAACTTGCCAATCTTAAACCTGCTTAGCTGCTATTTATCGACCCTATTTTGACCATTCACAATAAAACAATTTGCCCAAACTTCAAATCTATTTCTATCTTCCTTCCTCCCTTCCTTCTTTCCTTTCTTCCCTCCTTTTTTTCCTCCCTCCCTTCTCTTTTCTTTCTTTTGTAGTAGTGGGGTTTGAATTCAGGGCCTCACATGCAAGCACTCTATCATTTGAGCTACACCCCCAGTCCTTTCACTCTCTTTAGTTTGTTTTTCAGATAGGGTCTCTTGCTAACATTACCCAGCCTGTCCTCAAGCCATAATCCTCCTACCTCTGCCTCCCGAGTAGCTGGGATTACAGGTGTGTATCACCATATCCAGCACAAACCATCTTTTCAATGGCAATTGTCCCCTGGTCTGTTGGTCTCACCATGCCTAAACAACAAAAATTCTGGGTACATTTTAAAATAATTCTTCTTTCTACAATTATGAAATCCCTAAGGTAGGAAAATTCAGAGAACCTGGGTCCTTGATCACCAACTGCCAATCCCTCTCCTTTCCCAAGCCCTGTCTTCCAGGATCCTGCTGCTAGAACAGGAGTCCTTGTCCTGAGAACATCTTTACTTAAGAATTCTGATGTTGGCTTAACCTGGAATTCTTTCCCCTCATGCTTCCTTTCTGGCCAACTGGCTTTTCTCTAGGTATGTGACAGACAAGTTAAGGTACTGGTCTAGTCACATGGCCACTTACCCTTCTCAGGACTTCACGCTTGCAAAACAGGCACTCTGCTGTTTGAGCCACTCATCAAGCCCATTTTGCTCTGGTTATTTTGGAGGTGGAGTCTCTTGAACTATTTGCCTGGGATGGCATCAAACTGCAATCCTCCTGATCTCAGTCTTCCAAGTAGCTAGGATTATAGGAGTAAGCCACCAGTGGCCGGCAACACTGGATGTTTTTAAGCAGAATTTTCAGGTTGTTGGACAGACTGGATTGAAAAACTGAAGCCCAAATCTCATTTACAATGCATGGCAAAAGCATCGCCATCATAACAGAATGGTAGAGGTGAGGAAAGGCTAAATTAGTAAAGAAACAGAACACCCAGCAGAAAAGGAGGAATGCTGGAGAAAATGATGGTGCTGATTGATTGATTGGTTCTAGAAAGAATAAAGATGGCTTCGGAAGTCTATACAACCACAGGTGGATTAAAAATGGAAGTTACCTCACTTCCTGCATGGGAAGCAGGAAATGTTTCTCCCTTTTTCTATTTCTCCCTACCTTATCCCATTATTCTAAGATGAATCCTTTGCTGGGAAATAGGGGGAGCCTCAGTCACTGCTAATTCAATGTTGAGGCAATGCCATGTGACCTTGTAGACCCACTTTGGGACAATTCTGCTCTTGGCAGGATGGAGTGGATTAGTTCCCTAAGAAGCGTCTACAGATGGATGGAAGTTCAGGATGTAAACCTGGCAAAACCAAGGCTGGGGTGTGGCTCAAATGGTAGAGTGCTTGTCTAGCAAGCCCATGGCCCTGAGTTCAAACCCCAGTACTGCCAAAAAAAAAAAAAAAGTTGGTAAAACCAGAGCCTCTCTGGCTAATATGGTGTCTCTCTGAATCAGAGAAAGGCACACCTTGGGGTCCATACAGCACTTTGTGCAGGTACCATCTAGCATGTAGACAGACTGGATTTCAGGTGTCACTGGCCTCCAGGCTGGTCACCACAGTGAAAAGACATAAATTGGATAACTCTGTCTCTAGTTTGGTGGAAATCTTTATTTAGTGGTGGGTAAAGGAACCCAATGGATGAATCTGAGTTGGAGAGGTCATATAGGAGACTGCAGAGACTAACAGCACACCACTAAGGAGAGGGCTTCCACAGCAGAACCACAGACAAAATGCTACAGAAGGCTGGGCACCAGTGGCTCACACCTGTAATCATATCTACTCGGGAGGCAGAGATGGGGAGGATCACAGTTCGAAGCCAGTCCAGGCAAATAGTTTGAGAGATCCTATCGTGAAAAAGCCCATCACAAAAAAGGGCTCGTGGAGTGGCCCAAGGTTTAGGCCCTGAATTCAAGCCCCAGTACAGAAAAAAATAATGCCACAGGAGGCCAGGGAAGCCGAGAACTAGAAATAAGCCTTCAGACTTGAGAACCAGACCACTGGTAGTATCATAGATTAGGGAGAGCAAAACCAGGTAGTCACAGGGTACATGTGTGCTAAGGGGAAAGAGATCCTAGGACCTCCTCCCCTTTTTTGTGGAGCTGAGGTTTGAACTTGGGGCCTTCGGCTTGTTAGGTAAGTGCTCTAACACTTCAGCCATATCCCAAGCTCTTTTTTGCTTTAATTATTTTTCAGATAGAGTCTCACTTTTGCTTGGGACCAGGTCATGACCCCTTAGATCTCCCTCTTCAGAGAAAGTGGGATTACAGGTGTGAGCCACCAACTGACTCTTTGTATTTTTTATATTTTTATTTTTTGTGGTACTGAGGTTTGAACTCAGGGCCTGCACCTCCACCAGCCCTTTTTTGTGATTGGTTTTTTTTTTTTTCAAGATAGGGTCTTGAGAACTATTTGCCCAGGTTGGGTTCAAACTGCAATCTTCCTGATCTCTGCCTCCTGAGTTTTATTTTTATTTTTTTGGTATTGGGTATGGGAGTTTACATTACAGTCTCCATCCATCCATGTGTGATGACTGGCTGGGATTTTGGGAGCTGTGACAACTCTGCTGGCCAGAAAACCCAGTATTCTTGTGGCTGTCAAACTGGCCAGCACTGGCTATAAGTCTGTGTATGACAATAACTGATTTCCTCTTCATGTGAACCAGCTCCTCCTCTGAGCTGCCTTTGCTGGCCTCTGTGTGGCCTTTGTAGATGCTTGGGAAATGATCTCCAGCATGGTCCTGTCCAACAGTATCCACCAGGAAAGCTCACCATCCACAATGAGGTAGCCTTACTTACTCTTCTCCTTTGTCTGTCCCACTGAATGCTTTTGAGAAGTCTGGAACGTAAGACTTCTGGAATAAGGGTAGGTGCAATCAACTTCTCTCACTGGAAGACTGAAATAGCTTCCTGTCTAGTCCAGCCAATTCTATTCCTGCCCCAAACCAGGCAGGAATAGAATCTATTCCTTCTCCACTCAGGAGTGATTATTTGAAAGACAATAGCTTTCATCTTAATATAAACCCAAACCCCTTATCATGGCCCCTGAGGTCCTCCTGCATGATGGCTTTCCCTAACTCTGCACCCTCATTTCTTGTGACTCTTCCCTGGCCCTTTGTAGTCCAACCCCAAAGGTCTTCTTGGTGCTCAAGAGGATCAAGCCATCCTCCCTCACAGGATTAAACTTCCAGTTCTGGTGCCTGGAATGACCTTCCCCTAGATCCTCATATGGCCAGCTTTCTTCTCATGCAGTTCTCTGATCAAACATTTTGGAGGATTTTCAAATTAAAATCAAAATTAAACAGTCCCGTCTCAACTCTGCTATCCTCTGCTCACCCTGCTCCTGTTTTTCCATTCCACAATCTGTAATTATTTGGATGCTACTATAATTATTGTTATTGGCAGGACTGGGTTTGAACTCAGAGTTTCACACTTGCAAAGCAGGTGTGAGTCACACCTCCAGTCCATTTTACTCTGCTTTTTAGAGATGGGGGAGTCTTGTGAAGTATTTGCTTGGGCAGGCCTGCAACCAAAATCCTCTGGATCTCAGCCTCCCAAGTATCTAGGATTACAGGTGTGAGCCACAGGCACTCTGCAAGTTGCTTACTATTATTGTTGTGGCTTATTTATGTTACAATTCTCAATAGAATGTGATGTCCATGAGGGACAGGAAGTTTGTCTAGCTTGCTCACTGTTATAACCCATGACCTTGAAACACTGCAGGTGTTAAATATCCTCTGAATCAATTAAAGTCATGTGACCTCTGTGCCAGGAACCTTCTCAGCAACCTGCACCCTAGGAGAAATAGGCAATTGGCCAAAGTGTTCCTCTATTGCTGCTGGTGGCTACCACATAATAGCCATTAGTAGCTGTTAACGTTTCACATTTACATCAGAACAGTAAGATTTCCACTGCAGTATCTATTTTTATTCTGGAGGATCCTAACAGAAACATTCTTGCCTTTTACTGAGGCCCATAGAGTATGCACAGGGAGGCGAACAAGTCCTTGGTCCTAGTTTGGTTGCAGAGACAGAGTGTCCTGTCTGAAAACAAACAAAAAACCTCTGCCTCCTGAAAGGCTGGATGTGACAAGCCTTGCCGAGCAACTTAACTTTGATGGACCGGGTCCTCTTCCTCTCTTGGACCCCAGTTCCTCCCGGGAGAGACTTTCCTGAGTCGCTCTCAGGGTTCATCCATACAGGGCAGGCTCCTTGTCCCCAGACACCAGCTCCTGCTGGCAATTCCCACAAATCTTTTGTCTCAGGCTGCGGTTTCTCTGATCACCCGAAAGGGGGCTCCATGACCAGGCACGATCACATCAGCGGTGCCTAAGACCCTCTTTCGGCTCCGCTCCTGGGCCACTGGGTCTTCGCTCAGCGCTCGCCACGAGTCCTCATCCCCGACGCGTTCAAACACATCGCCTGCCACCACCACGGTCCCCAGGGCCGTGCCTGCCACCACCAGGCTCACGTCGCGCTGGCCCCCGTGGCCCGGCGTGGCCCATACCTCGAGCCCGGGTCCCAGGCGCAGGGGCCGCTCCTCACTCAGCCCGTGGGGCAGGTAGTGGCCCCCGGGGAGGCAGAAATCGTGCGACACCAGCAGAGCTGCCCCCGGAAACAGCCCCAGGTTCCCGATGTGATCCGAGTGCCCGTGGGTCCCCACCACCAGAGTCACGTCTCCCGGGGCCACGCCCTGCCCCGCCAGGGCTTCCACTAGCGCCTCCCGGGCCCAGGGGCCCCCGCTGTCCACCAGGATGGGGCCGCGGGACGCCTCCTCCAGGGCGGTCTTGGCGCCACCATCTGCGGGCGGGGACTCTTGGTGGCTGGACGCCGGACCCCAGGCTTGGGGCAGCACCAGGGTCACCGAGCCATCGGCGCGCACGGCATCGCCCATCCCCTCGGGCTCTGCGTAGCCCCTCAGCAGAACCACCACGGAGTAGGGGTCCCCGGGCATCAGCAGAGGGGGCTCCCTGAGCAGAGGCTCAGTTCGCACTAGACTGTTCATGGCAGAGGCGGGACAAGCTGGGGAGAGACGAAATGGGGGCCGTGGGTCACTGGCCAGCCCCTCCGAGTTCCCACAGCCAGCCCCGCCACTACTCAACTGGCACCTTCCAAGTCTCAGCTCTTTGTCATCCCCTCCCTCAGCTCTTAAAGTGGTATCACTCTCGACCTCCCTGCGGAAGATGGTACGGCCCAACCTGTTTCCCACGCGATCCCGCCCTCCCTCCTTCCGCTCCAGTCAGGCTAATCTCGTGGCAGGTCCTCCCTCACCTGTCACCCTCCAAAGGATGTCCTTTCCTTTTCTTCACTCTAACCTTAGCCGCTCTCTACCTGACTTTAGTCATATCACTAAAGTCTGAGATCGTCCTCACGCCAAAGCACGGAAGTCTCGGGATTTTGTCCTCTGCGAGCTTCCGTAAGCCCTAGTATGGCAGCCAGCGCGGCGCCACGTCTGTAACTTTAATTCCGGTGCGTTCCGCAACCTGGGCCTATGAAACCTGCAGACCTCGCTATATTTGTTCCGCGACCTCTGCCGGCCTCCTGGGCTGTAAAATTGCAAAGCACCATTAGTTGCTAACAGGACTGCTGCAAATGGCCCCGTTGTCTGAACACTACCTCACCGACCATGGTCGGCCATTTGAAACTGGGAGCAGATGATATTAAAAAAAAAAAAAAAAGTTTAATAGCGATATAGAAAAATTGGCACCTGTGAAGTTAATATGAAGCAGAGCAAGTACCTACCCCACCGACCTAACCAGCGTTGCTTCATCCTCAGCCCATGTCCTGTTTTTTGTTCACTGCTTGCTGCTTCTGGACACAGGCAGTGTACACAGGTCATAGAGAATGTCTGTTCTAGCCTCTTCCTTGTTAAGATCTAAAACCAGACCCCTGAAGGGGTCTTTCCCAAGGCCCATAGCTCCATACCATCGCTGGCCGGTGGGTGGGGGTGAGGAGCCCTAAAGATGATTTACTGGGGAAAGCTTCAATACTGTCACCACACACAGGCCTACCAGTTAAGGGGCTGGATGACAGGCAGAGGTAAGACTTCCACCTCCTGCTCCCACCTTTCTCCCTGGGGTGAGGTGTGTTCACAAACACACCTTAAAGCTGTAGGAAAAGGAACAGCTCAAACTTCAGAGGGTTCTTCTCTATGACCCCTCCTGGGAGTTCAAAGACAAGGGTCAAAGATCTTCTGGGTCATGCTTGGGGCGGCCTGATGTCTTGGTCATCTCTTCCTCCTCCTCCTCTTCCTCTTCCACATCCTCTTCCTCCTTCTCTTCCCCTTCTGCCTTCTTTTGCCCATTTGTAATCTCCTCCTTTCCAGTCCATGTTTCCTGTAGACATGCTAGGTGGGGTGAGAGAAAACAATTTAAATGTTAGTTTTGAAGATAAGGGGAAACTGTGGCCTGGCAGGAGAGGATCCCAACCCCCACACTTACCAGTTTCAGCAGTTGGGAGCACATGACCTTCACAGAGAAAATGCTGTAGGGGCTGCTCCTGATGGTGGAAGTACCATTCTCCCACAACGTCTTCAAATTCTTCCAGCATTGTCTCGCACTGGTCAAGTGGATGAGCAGGAAGATTATCTGTTCTGCTGGGCTTTAGAGACCCACCTCTGTGCTTTCCACTCCCTGTCTTCCTACTGCAAGTGACTGACTGACATTGGAGAGGCAGGTAGCCAGGAGGTTAAGCTTGGCTTCCAAGCTGTGTGATCTTTATTCAACAAACACTTACTAGCACCTACTCTGTTAAGTAGGTTGTTAAACTCTGAGTCTCAGCTTCTGCCCTGTAATCATACCTGCAGCTGGAAAGTATGTGACCCAGAATCAGGAACATAGTGTTCAATAAGCAGTAGCACATATTATTAGCCTCCAATATTATTATTGTTTTTTTATCCTTTGGCAGCACTGGTGTTTGAACTCAGGGACCAAAGCTTGCTAGGCACATGCTATACCACTTGAGCCACACCTCCAATCCTTTTTTGCCTGATTTTTCTGGATAGGGTCCTGCACTTTTTGCCTGGGGCAGGTCTCTGACTTTATTCTTCCTACTTACACATCCTGAGTAGCTGGGATTGCTGGCACCACGCCCAGCCCAATATTCTTAATAAGCTCTTAAGCACAGCCCTCGTTCTGTCCCTTCTCCCTATCAGAGGGGGACATCTAACAGTCAAATCCCAGGATCTGGCTCCCTTTCAGGTTAGGGAACCTTACTGGGACAGTGTGGTATCTTTTCCTACCTGCTTTTTGAGGAATGTGACCTCCACACTGGGCTCGTCCCATAGCTCCAAAGGGATCCCCAGATCCACCTTCACTCCCTTCTGCACTAGGCCTTTCAGTGTTGCCATGGTCTGACTCTGACCCTGAGAGATGGAGAATTTGTTATCAATCCAGCCCATCACCCCACATCTTCTTTTGCCTTCCCACCATATTAGTTAACTACTAGAAACTTGGTGAGTTCCCTGAGGATGAGATGAAGGACCTTGACCATAATGAGAGGATACTCCAGAGCTAGGGAAAGACAGGAAGATATTCCTGGGGACCTTAGGGAATATAGGTTTCTGAGAAACATGGTCCTTTCCTGGGGAAGGATCTGACCTTGGCATATCTCAATGATCCCTTGCGCTCAGCATGAACACTGTAATCCAAGATCCGCTCACATAAATTCTCCAAGGCTTCTTCTAGCCTTGTCTCTCTGTAGGAAGAGGGGAAAGAAAAACTCCATGATGCTTCAGGAACTCCCTGGTCTCCTTTGGCAGTTGAAAGATGGATGAACACAAAGATGGACTCACGAAACACTGTAAGGTACGTGTTTCTTCCTCTTGCCTGTGTCTAGCACCTGTCCCAGCTCTAGCACCTCTCGAGATCGACCAGTGTGACTCAGCTTCTCTTGTAGCTCCATGCTCAGCAGCTTACACACTGGTAGTAAGGAGAGATGGCCAAGGGTACATGAAACATGGCACACCAGTGGTTCATTCTGCAGAGGACCAAAAGCAGCAAACAAGCAAGTGCACACTCTGGAGCCAGACTGACTCAGCCTCTCAATGGCTGTATGACACTTTTGCTATGCCTTGGTTCCTTTTTTGTGGGGAGCAGATTATGAGATGCCTATGAAAACTTGACATAAGTACAGTTGTGCTCAATGATCTATGGGCTGAGTTTGGCACAGCCCCAGCTGCAGAAGAGAGCAAAGGTAAAATGTAGCACATCTGCTTTTCCTAAATAGTTTACTTTCAGAGAAATAGGAACACAGGTTTCTCTTGTTACAATGTCACTCCCCCTCCCCAAGAATTATTGCTCCACCTCTTTGTTTACCACGGTATATAAAAGACTAGCTGAAGGAGGATGGAAGGATTTTTTTGATGAGGGATTCTGACTGGCTGCCTACGGGTTGCTTGTGAGACTGGCTGTTGCTACTGTTGTTATGCTAAGGATTAGAGGAAACATGGGACAGTGCAAGTCTGAGCACTGAGACTTTTAAGAAAGCTAAAGAGAGAATATGGAAGAGTGCAAGTCTGAGGACTAAGACTTTAAAAGGGAACACGGGACAGTGCAAGTCTGAGGGCCAAGACTTTAAGAGAGATTAAAGAAAACATGGACAGAGCGAGTCTAAGGAAAGAGATTTTAAAGAATAGGAAAGAAGCAAGATTTCAAAGAAAGACTTTAGAAGTAAGACCTTAAAGAATACAGAAGAAAAGAAACAATGAGGCTGTTGTGTGTCTCCATCTGAGTGCCCAGCACACCTGATCCTAACTTTCTGTATGTCTGTCTTCTATTTGTTTGTCCTTTCTGCATCTCCAGTTGCCCTGAGTTAGGTTCAGGAGGAACAGAGCATGAAAAAGCTCTCTACACTTTTTCCTTTTTCTTTCTTTCAGTACTGGGATTTGAACTCAGGGCTATACCTCGAGCCACTCCCCACCAGCCTTTCTTTTGTGTGAAGGTTTTCTTTGAGATAGGGTCTCATAACTAAAGCAGATACCTTAAAAGCAACTGAGGCCAATAGGAAAAGGGGAACTAGAGAAAAGGTTAGATCAAAAAGAATTAACCTAGAAAGTAACACACTCGCACAGGAAATTAATGTGAGTCAACTCCCTGTATAGCTATCCTTATCTCAACCAGCTAAAACCCTTGTTCCTTTCTATTATTGCTTATACTCTTTCTACAGCAAAATTAGAAATAAGGGCAAAATAGCTTCTGCTGGGTATTGAGGGGGTGGGGGAGGAGAGGGAGGGGGCAGAGTGGGTGGTAAGGGGGGGTGGGGGCAGGGGGGGAGAAATGACCCAAGCCTTGTATGCACATATGAATAATAATAATAAAAAAAAAGAGATAGGGTCTCATGACCTACTTGCCCATGCTGGCTTTGAACCACAGTCCTTCTGATCTCTGCCTCCTGAGTAGCTAGGATTACAGGCATGTGAGCCACCGGCTCCAGGAGTGCCTTCATTTCTTTACCTCTAAAATGGGGATAAGTCAGTGGCTTATGCCTGTAATCCTAGCTACTCAGGAGACAGAGCTCAGGAGGACTGTCGTTTGAAGCCAGCTCCAGGCAAATAGTTCTCAAGACTCTATTACAAAATACCCAATACAAAACAGGGCTGGTGGAATGGCTCAAGTAGTAGAGTGCCTGCCTAGTAAGCATGAGGCCCTAAGTTAAAACCCCAGTACCACACATAAAAAAGACATTAAGATCCATGATCTTTGTCTATGGGACAGCCATGTTGGGATAGATAAACAAATGATGACAATATGGTGTGATGGACCCTACAAATACAAAATTCACTCAAAGGTCCAAACTGTCTACTATTAGGAGTTAACAGTGTGTGTATTTCACTACTATCTTTCCAGCACCCAGTGGGTGGCCTGCCACATGGTGAGTGCCAAAAAAGAAATGGCCCATACAGAAGTGAAAGTAAACTAAACAGAAGTGGAAGTAACAAAAGTGCCTAAATGTGCTTATTAGCACTATGCACTCAGATACACAGACATTCCCTTTTCCCCTCCAGGGGTTTATGACAGCAGGTGACAGACAAGGAAGAAGGCTTCCAAAGGAAGTGACATTTAAACTGGATCTTGAAGCATGGATAGGAGCTTATCAAATACAGAAAAGAGGGGGCCACTTAGCAAAAGCACAGATGTGTAAGAGGACAATGCACTTTCAGTGACTGTAAGAAGTTCAATGTGTCTGAAGCACCGACACTTTGAGGATGGGAATGGGGTATGGAAATGTAAGAAAGTCCTCTGCCAAAAAAATGATAGGTTAGTATCCGGGTGCTGGCGGCTCACGCCTGTAATCCTAGCTACTCAGGAGGCAGAGAGCAGGATGATCTTGGTTCAAAGCCAGCCCGGACAAATAGTTCTCAAGACTCTGTCTCCAAAAAAAAACCTCATCACAAAAATAGAGCTAGTGGAGTAGCTCAAGGTGAAGGCCCTGAGTTTAAACCCCAGTACTGCAAAAAAAAAAAAAAAAGCTTACTGATCACAGAGATGTTAAAGCAAAAACAGCCAAGATTAAGCCTGTTTAGAAAGACAGGACAAGTAGCAGGAAGAGTGGGGACTCAGACGTAAAAGGAGGTAAGAGATTAAAACCAAGTCATGAAGAACGCTGATACTGAAATGCAGTGATGTGTGAAATGAAGAGAAGAGACCCAGGAAGAAATGAAAAAGTCAGGGAGGCAACAGAGTTGGGAATGATCTGACTCTTGAAGTGTGTCACCTCCCAAGAATGGCCCTACACTAGTACAGCAAGGGAAGATACTGCTTGCTATAAAATCCATACAGTATACTTCCTCTGCAAAGCCTCACATTGATGGGGGAACTTCTAGTTCCTCCGTATTTGTTTATGAGCTTCAGTGCAGAGTTACTCACCCTCAGATCCCCTGAGGGTGACATCTAGCTTGTAATTTGGGAGCGTCTCTGCTAGGGCGGGGCAGGGGATGTCAAAAGGGCATGAGCCTCACACCCCGCTCCTGCAGGCTCTTCAGATTTAGGTCTAGTGAGTGACATGGGGGAAAGACACACTAAAGATGCTTGATAAGAGTTGGTGGTCCAAGGCAGACGGTCCCTGAACTACAATTCCCATAATCCACTGGGGCCCGAGCCTGCAAGAAAAAGCGGGCTCCCTCTGGATGTCTCATGGAAAATGTAGTGCCACAGTTTGGGGGCGGCACCATCTGTACCCTTCTTAATCTAATTTAAATTCCGCCAATTCCATCAGAAACCTCCCTCAGGACTTCAACTGACCCACCCATCAGAGTCCATTTGATTCGGTCTAAAGGAAGGAGGTTGGACAGAGAGATGCGAAAGAGAGCTGCTCCTTTTAGATACCTTCGCATTTGCTGGGCAAACGTTCTGTGTCATCGTCCTCCTCTTTCGGCGTCCTAGCCCAAGTACCGTACACTCCCAAAATTAAAAGAAATATTCCCAACCGCACAGGTCCCATGATAAAGCGCCGTCCCCAAACAACCACCGACGCCTTCAAACCAACTTCGGGAAGGCAGCGGGCCCTTTAAATCCAGAGGCGGTCGGAGGCACCCTTAAAAAGGCACAGCACGGTTTGCGCGTGCGCAGATCCAGTCCGAGAGGGGGCGGAGCATCATTTCCCAGGGCTTCTCCGCCTCGGTTTTGTGGCGCCTCCTGAAGGTCCTGGCCGCGGGGTAGTGAAGGAATAGATTGGAGTCATTAGGATAAGGGAGCGTACTCCTTACACGCAGGTGTAGAAACTAATTTTTATATAATTTCAGGCCGTGAACCTAGATGATTTATTCTGGCGTGAGGAAGGGACAGGGACTTGCTCTCGTTTTCTGCCAGGACCTGCTTCTGGGAGGGGGCGGGGCCAAGATGGCGCCGAGCGCCGGGTGAGCGGCGCTTTGGCAGCGGTGAGACGCTTTTACTGCCCTGGTGCTGGGCTGGCGGGATCAGGTCTTAGAGGGTATCCGGAGAGGACCCTTTGAAGGGCCTGTGTGTGGACTAAGGAAGAGGACGGTTGGTTCTGTGTCCGTGCTTGTGGGCACCCTGTATGTGTTTGCACTGGAGGGATGTTGGCGGAGATGGGGTGGGTTCTCTGAACCGATCTTCAACCCGGTTCTCTGCTGGGTTAAACTGCACAGATATCGCCCAAGTTAATCCTGCTCTGAGGAGCCCTCTTGTTCCCTCTACTGTTCGAGAAGCTCCTAAGACTGTATTGTGTCTTACGAGCCCTTACTGGCAGGGGGTACTGCAGGGTATTGAAGGATTCGTAGGAGTTCGCCGGGCAGCTGGGACACAACTGCTTCTTGTATACCTTGCACTAGGCACAGAGTACGTGTTGAATCATTGTGTTCCCTATAGATAAGACTTACAAAAGTCGGGGAGGAGACCTGGGATGGTTTGAAAAGAACCAAATTCTCTTTTGGCCTTCATCTTCCCATCTCCCCAGCACACAGTTCCTGAATACTGTTGAGGTTGATCTTGTAATGCCCAGCTCCAAGCATGACACTTACCTTTTAACTGCAGAGTAAACTCCAAGCTTGGCTCGTCTTCTTCATTTTGGTAACTTTGTACATCTTTAAGCCCTGAAATTCATTCATTTATTCAGCAAGGATCCATTATTTACAGTGTCTCAGGCACCAGTCTGGGCACTGGAATAAATACATCAGTCAACATAATAAAGATCTCTGTCCCCCAGGTGAGGGAATAAGGGTGATGTACAATAAGAAGTGAAACAATGTAATAAAATGGTATAGAAAAGAAAAAGAGCAGAATGAAGGCAGAATTCAGAATTTTAGCATCATAGTTAGGGTAGACAGCAGTGAACATCTGGGCAGAACACAGAAGCAAAGGATATAAAGCCAGTTTAAAGAACAGCAAGGAGGCCAGTTGCTGGTGGCTCACGCCTGTCATCCTAGCTACTTGGGAGACTTAGATCAGGAGGATCGAGGTTAGAGGTCACCATGGGCAAATAAGTGGTGAGACCCCCATCTCCAAAAATAACCAGAGCAAAACGGACTGGAGGTGTGTCTCAAGTGGAAAAGAACAGCAGGGAGGAGGATGTGGTTGGGTTAAAGTGGAAGAAGGAAGGATAAGAGATTTGAAATATGAGAAGGCACATCTTGAAGGGCCTTGTAGGCCATTGTAAGGATTTTATAGTGAACAGGGAACCCTTACAGCACAGAAATGACAGTCTGGTTTATTTATTTACTTTTGCAGTACTGGGGATCAAACTCAGAGCCTCGTGCTTGCAAGCCAAGCCCTCTATCACTTGAGAGCACCCCCCTAACTTTTGCTTTTAGTTGGTTTTTCAGAGAGGGTCTTGATGATGGTGACCTGAGCCGAAGATTGGGAGGTTGAGTTACCTGGTGGATTTGATGTGAGGGCCCAGATAAGGAGTGAGTTGCTGGGTGGATGGCTTGCTATGAAAATGAGGACAGCTAAGACTGGAGCAGATAAGGAATTCACTTTTAGTGGAGGCTTTGAGTTGTGCCTTTTTAAAAATCTCTTCTGCTTACCCTATCCTCAAACAGAGTCTCCATCTGTCCACCCTGGGGTGGCGTCCTTTCAGGGAGGGGTGGGGAGACCCTCCAGCATGGCTGAGGAGAAGAAACTGAAGCTTAGCAACACTGTGCTGCCCTCGGAGTCCATGAAGGTCGTGGCTGAGTCAATGGGCATTGCTCAAATTCAGGAAGAGACCTGTCAGCTGCTGACAGATGAGGTCAGCTACCGCATCAAGGAGATTGCACAGGTAACCCAGCCCTTGCTGGGCTCTGCTTTGTGTCAAGGAGATAGCTGGGCCCCCTCTTCCTTGGGGGCTCTGGACTGACACCTCTTCTCCTGCATGCCCTTCTCTCCCAGGATGCTCTGAAGTTCATGCATATGGGGAAGCGGCAGAAGCTGACCACCAGTGACATTGACTATGCACTGAAGCTAAAGAATGTTGAGGTGACTGGGAGAGACAGGAAGGGGGCAGGAGTGAGATGGGAGCAGGGTGCTGAGATGCTACCCTCCCAGAGCTTTAGTCAGGCCTCCCCGGGCTGCTTCTCACGCTAGCATCGCCCCTTCTCTCTCCTGATACAGCCACTTTACGGCTTCCACGCTCAGGAGTTCATCCCTTTCCGTTTCGCTTCTGGTGGGGGCCGGGAGCTCTACTTCTATGAGGAGAAGGAGGTGGATCTGAGTGACATCATCAATACCCCTCTGCCTCGGGTGCCCCTGGATGTCTGCCTCAAAGGTGGGGGTGGAGGTAGGGGACTGCAGGGTGGCAGGGAGGAGGGAAAGGATGAGCAAGGCATGTGGGTGCAAAGAACCTCACAAGTGAAGAAACCCCCAGTGAGAGATCCCTGGAGTATGGAGACTAGGAAGGAATGCACACCTTTCTTAGTGTGGAATGACTCTAGTGTCTGCTCAGCAATTTAGTTCAACACCTTCTTTCTTCACAGCTCATTGGCTGAGCATTGAAGGCTGCCAGCCAGCTATACCAGAGAATCCACCCCCAGGTAACCTCCAGGGCCCACTGCCCTCCTTCCCTCTTCCCTTTTCCTTGCCTTCTTTTCCTCTCCTATCTTTCTTGCCCTCTTCCCTGTTCCTCCACACCTCCCCCAACTCATCACTTCTGCTGTGACTGCTTTGTACCAGCTCCCAAAGAGCAGCAGAAGGCTGAGGCCACAGAACCCCTCAAGTCAGCAAAGCCAGGCCAAGAGGAAGACGGACCCCTGAAAGGCAAAGGTCAAGGAGCCAACCCAGCTGATAGCAAAGGTTAGTACCCAAACCAGACCTCTCCTGACTCTTATATCTGAAATTTGCATGGTCATTTGTAAGATGGGTAAGGTCAGGGCCAGAGGTCCTAGAAAAGATGGAGAAGCCTAGAGGAAGCTAGGTCCCCTGATGAGGGTCTGTCTGGTATTAAGATCTTTTCTGGAGCTTTCTTTCTATTTCTAAACTGTCTCCCCAATTCACACAGGGAAAGAGAAGAAGGCACCACCCTTGCTGGAGGGGGCCCCTTTGCGCCTGAAGCCTCGCAGCATCCATGAGCTGTCTGTGGAGCAGCAGCTGTACTACAAGGAGATCACCGAAGCCTGTGTGGGCTCATGTGAGGCCAAGAGAGCGGTGAGCCTCTACTCTTCACTTGCTCTCACCCCAAGAATCCTCCTATAGTCCTGGTAGATTTCCTCCCCTATTATCTGCTCTCACCCCACCAGTGTCCTCCTCCCACAGGAAGCACTGCAGAGCATTGCCACGGACCCAGGCCTCTATCAGATGCTCCCACGGTTTAGTACCTTCATCTCAGAAGGGGTGAGAGAACTGGGAAGGCCAGTTCTAAGGGTGAGGTGGGGAGGGGGCAGGTGGCAGGGGATGCTCATCTTTAGGGGTGTCTGCCCCCTTCGCTTTTCCCCCATAGGTGCGTGTGAATGTGGTGCAGAATAACCTGGCCCTGCTCATCTACCTGATGCGCATGGTGAAGGCACTGATGGACAACCCTACACTGTATCTAGAAAAATACGTAAGTGGTCTTGCCCACCCTCCTGTCCTCCCAGGGCTGGGACACAGCTGCCACTCACAGGAGGCTGTGCATCAGAACCAGCTGACCTGCCACTCTCTCCTAGGTCCACGAGCTGATTCCAGCTGTGATGACCTGCATTGTGAGCAGACAGCTGTGCCTGCGACCAGATGTGGACAATCACTGGGCACTCCGGGACTTTGCTGCCCGCCTGGTGGCCCAGATCTGCAAGCATTTCAGCACAACCACTAACAACATCCAGTCCCGGATCACCAAGACCTTCACCAAGGTGAGCCTCGAGAATTGTCACCTGCTTCACGTCACCAGCCCAGCATTATCACCAGGACAAGAGTGTCAACTGACCAATGGTGGGGCACTTGTGGCTAGGGGAAATGACACCTGGAACAAGGGTCTAAGGAATTTGAACCTTGTCTGTAGAGATTGAATTTTGTAAAGGGACCTAATAGAAGATACGGGTCCTTAGTAATTAGCCGCTTCAGACTTCTTCATCTGGGTTTATTTTCATTTCCTACAGAGCTGGGTGGATGAGAAGACTCCCTGGACAACTCGTTATGGCTCCATTGCAGGCCTGGCAGAGCTGGGACACGATGTGAGGCCCCTGGGGGCAAGAACTGGGAGAGGGGAGGCAATCTCAAGGTTACAGAGGGCAAACCCCCAACCTGAGGATGCCTGGTGACCCTGTAGTCCTGGCTTCTCCCTTCATTTTGAACAGGTGATTAAGACTCTGATTCTGCCAAGGCTGCAGCAGGAAGGGGAGAGGATTCGCAGCGTCCTGGATGGCCCAGTGCTAAGCAATATCGATCGAATTGGAGCTGATCACGTGCAGAGCCTCCTCCTGGTGACCACAGTCCCCTGCCTTGCCCTCCCTACTTCTTACTTCTTCCCGCTAATCTTCCCCTATCCAGCCCCTTCCCATACACACAGGTACCGTGTTTAGCAAACATCTGGCACATTTTATTCACTTGTTTCAATCTGCCACATAGATTCAGAGCACTCTTCGGAGGCCAGTGCTGTTTTGCAGACATAAAGACAGCCACAGCTGGCCCCACTGGCTCATGCCTGTAATCCTAGCTATTCAGGAGGCAGAGATCAGGAAGATCACGGTTTGAAGCCAGCCCAGGCAAATAGTTTGCGAGACCCCCATCTCAAAAATACCCAACACAAAACAGGACTGGAGGAGTGGCTCAAGTGGTAGAGCACAAGCCTAGCAAGCATGAGGTCTGGAGTTCAAACCCCAGTACCACAAAAAAAAAAAAAAAAAGAAAGAAAGAAAAAGACAGGCACAGATGGGCTAAATGAGAAGTAAGAGTCTTAAAGCTCAGCCTATGACTTCTGGACTGCACTGACCCCTGCCCCCGACTTCTGCATCATGGCATGGCCCACTCTGTGCAAGGCAAATGTGCATTCCATGGATCAGTTACCCATAGATGTTACTAGTTGATGTAACTGTAGTCCTCTATACACACCAGTTGATGCCTGGGGTTCCTTTTGAGGAAGAACCATGGAATTCATCATTTATACTCATAACCCAGCAGTGTGGCCTCTAACAGGGACACAGAGCTGATTGTGAGCTCTTGAGAGTACTAGCTCTCTCTCTTTGCCTTCTCTCTGCAGAAACACTGTGCCCCAGTACTGGCTAAGCTGCATCCACCACCTGACAATCAGGATGCCTACCGGACAGAATTTGGGTCCCTTGGGCCCCTCCTCTGCTCCCATGTGGTCAAGGCCCGGGCCCAGGCTGCTCTGCAGGCACAGCAGGTCAACAGGACCACACTGACCATCACACAGGTCAGACACTAAGAGCAGGAAAGAATGATAGGAAATGAGACAGGGTCCAGTTCCATGGTGCCCAGGGCTGGGGACCCAGACTCAGGCCCATGCAGGTCCTGAGTCAGTGGTTTTGGGATCTGGGCCCCCTTAGGGAAGGATGCCTGAACCCCAGTGAGAACTATAAAGAGTAGCCCAGGTCTCCCCTCACACCCTTCTTTTTCTTAGATGTTGACATTTTCTTCCTGCCTCTTCTCCCTGCAGCCCCGGCCCACACTGACCCTGTCACAGGCCCCTCAGCCTGGCCCTCGGACTCCTGGTTTGCTGAAGGTCCCTGGCTCCATAGCACTGCCCGTCCAGACACTGGTGTCTGCGAGAGCTGCTGCTCCACCTCAGCCTTCCCCTCCTCCCACCAAGTTTATTGTAATGTCATCCTCCAGCGCCTCCTCTACCCAGCAGGTATGTGGAGCCTGGTATCAGGGAAGTGAGGAAGCCTGGATCACCTCAAAGCAGCCTGGGGATGTCTCAGAGTAGAGCTCTGTCCTCTCCAGGACCAAGTCAGCAGGTAGAAGGGCACTTGCCAGGGATTTATGGGCCTCAAGTTGGCCACAGTCTACAGGACCCTGGGGATGGAAAGTACGGTTCATGGGGCCCCAAGAGAATGAGGAAGCAGAGGGTGTGAGGGTCAAAGCAGGTACCTGGAAAAGCCCTGAGAGTTCAAAGCCGGGGAGCAAATACAGTATCACCAGGCTTTCTGGGTATGGGGACAGCACAAGATGATCAAATGGCCTTTTTTCTCCCCTAGGTCCTCTCCCTCAGCACCTCAGCCCCAGGCTCAGGATCCACCACTACCTCTCCTGTCACCACCACTGTCCCCAGTGTGCAGCCTATTGTCAAGCTGGTCTCCACTGCCACCACTGCACCCTCCAGCACGGCCCCTTCTGGTCCTGGCAGTGTCCAGAAGTACATTGTGGTCTCACTTCCCCCAGCAGGGGATGGCAAAGGTGGACCCCCATCCCACCCTTCTCCAGTGCCTCCTGCATCCTCTTCCCCCTCTCCACTTGGGGGTAGTGCCCTCTGTGGGGGGAAACAGGAAGCTGGGGACAGCCCCCCTCCAGCTCCAGGGACTCCAAAGGCCAATGGCTCCCAGCCCCCTGGATCTGGCTCCCCTCAGCCTGCTCCGTGATACTGCTGACCTCTCCCACAGATTCCTATATATACATGCAAGGTGGGAGGAAGTAGGCTACTTCCTCACATGACTCTTTTTAGATACTGTACAGTCAGTTCCTCGGAATAAAAGTTTGATTTTTAAGTTCTGAGCCTTCCTGAATCACATACAACAGAAGGGACAAGTCTACACAGCCCTCCTGGTCTCTCAGGACTCTTCTTGCTCAGATTCAGAGCCACAGGCCAGGAGGCCAGGAAAGAAAATGTCCTTTTCCTGTTTGATCATCTCCTGCCTTTGCTGCCTGTGTCCTTGAATGGGGAGGTTCAGATCCGAATGACATAAGCATTGCTGTGGCTTAAGTGTCGCACCCACTTGTGGGGGTTGATGTTGCCACAGGGCTTGAAGGACAGCCTGAGGAAGCGAACCTGGAGACCAGAACATGTGTGCCTGGGAAGTTCAAAGGAGAGACTGGCAGGGCCCAATCCCAGTGGGGGTGCTGTGGTGGAGGGCCCATGACTGGGAGGCCCTGGCAGGCTAGGAATGTCCATCTGTGAAGAAAGAGGGCAGGGAAGCATTGAGGCCAAGCAGCTGCTTACACCAGAGGAAGGATGCAGCAGCTGCACTGGGAGGACTGGATCAGGGCTGCAAGTGAAGGTGGGAACACAGGATACAAGAGGATTGACAGCAGATACCTGGAAAAGGCCTGAGAGTTGAGAGCCTCCTTGTACTCGGGGCAGGTCCCAATGAAGGGCACCCTCCCTAAGCTCTGCCTTCTGCTCTGGGCTGCTCAGTTCCTGAGATAGGCTAGAGAATGGAGAGGGAAGGTGCTAAGTTCACCATCACATGCCTTGGCACCACACACACCACCCCAGAGAAGCCTGCACTCACCTGACCACCCCTCGTGGCAGGGGAAGGTGCAGCCGGACATTGAGAGCCTGGCTACAAAGAAAGGAAGATGGTTATCCCCAGAAAGGCAGCATTTTTGTTTTTGTTTTTTGGTGGTACTGGGGTTTGAACTCAGAGCTTCATGCTTGCTAGGCAGGTGTTCAACCACTTAAGCCACTCCACCAGCACTTTTTTTGTGTTGGTTATTTTCAAGATAGTCTCATGAACTATTTGCCCAGGCTGGCTTCGAACCTCCTGATCTCTGCCTCCTGAGTAGCAAGGATTACAGGGGAGAACTACTTGGTGCCTGGCAAGGTAGCACCTTTTGTCCTGATCCTTCCTAATGTCACAATGGGAGTTCAGCACAGGTGCATCCCCACCTCCACCACCTTCTCAAATGCTAGAGCCCCTGACTCAACTGGGTCTGACTTTGGCCCTGCCTTGTCCCACATACCTGAACTGGGCCTGCCTGGCCAGCCCCCACTCTTACCTCTTTGGGGGCAGGTCACACCGTAATTTCAGGTAAACCTGGAGCCTGGAGGACAGGACAAAGTACAATGACTTCAGCCATGTACTACTGGCATCTCGCCATCAATCAACCAGGTCCAACACATGAGGCTGTGTAGGTTGTACTCTAAGAAGGGCTGAAATCCAGCCTGGTACCACTAGCCAAGCCTTTTGTTTCCAATGTGTATCCTACCACTCCTACTCCCACCCTTCCACGAGAAGTCTTGGGGACACGTATGTCTTAGATTAGCTTCCAGAGTAGTTCCAGAACACAGGAAATGGTCTCACCGGCCTGAGCCTCGGTTCCACTGCACGGAGGGAAAGAGCCGGAAGGGGAGCGGGGAAGAGAGGTCATCAGAGAGTTGGTACCGCATCACAATCAGCTGAGGCCAGAGAGGGAATGAGGTCAGTTTTGTCTCGTGCCTGCACTGCCTCCCAGCCCTGAACCTGACCTCACCCCTGAACCTGACCTCGCCCTGAGGTGGCTGCAAGCGGAGGATCCGATGAGACTCAAACTCGTCTAGGTTTACAGAGCTGTGAAAGGAGACTTCATCCACCCGAATTCCTGGTCCATAACCTGCAGAGATAAAGACTCCTCTACTGACCCATGTTTTGGGAGAAAAGAGCAGGGAGGGGAGAGGACCCATCTCTAACTTCTTTCAATCAAACCTTTGACAGTGACCACCCCAGAAGAGAGACCTGTGTTCTCCTGACCTCTAAATTCAGACTTCCCCACACAAAATTCTTCTGTCAAGCCGATGCGCATCTCTGTTGGAGGAAAGAATGAGTCAGGGAAGGGCAGTAAATACCACCACACCTGCCACCAAAGAGCCTGTCCCAAACTCAAGCCAGAGTCCTCACCAGAGCCACCAGGAAGGAAGCTCTTGAGCCGGATCTCTCCCTGCACATCCACCTTCAACTGTGAGCCCTGGGATTGGCATGGAGGTTAGGCCCAGTCCTGACCTTCCCCACCTGCTTCCCACATACCAGTTGGTTTCAACTCCAGAGTTGGGAGAGCCCCAACTTACATTAGATGCTATCAGTACAGACAATCTCTCGACCACATCCAAAAAAACTTCATTTTTTTGGCTCTGAGAAAGAGAGAGGATTTGATGGGTGGAGGCTGAAGGCCTATGGTCTATAACAGACAGGCAGAAAGGACAGCGTAGTTGAAGGGAGGGACACAGGGTGAAGGAAAGAATACCTATATCTAGAGGGGTGGAAAAAAATCAGAAAGTCTGACCTCAGAGCGACTGGACAGGACTGGGCGGCTGGCTGCACTGCTGGGGGCCACTTTGCTCTGTTGTGTCTCGGCTCCAAACTGTAAAGCACCCAAAGCAACCAATCCTCAGCTCTGATGCTGTCAGCCAACTCTCTTTTTCCCCCCAGTCCCTCCCTTCTCTCTTGGCTACTGACCAAGCCAACGCTGCTGAGGTCAAAGAGGCTGAAGGGTTTGCTGACCACTGCCTCCGTCTGGATGAAGTTCCTTAGCATCTCCATGGAGGTAGTTTGTATGTAGCCATAGTCCTAATGAAAGGGTGGTGGAAAAGCAGTGGACCCCACGGGATAAAAGCAGACACGCCTTTAGAGATCAGGAGGTCAGAGGGAAAGTCCTTTGGTCTTACCAGCACTTCATCCAGGAGTTCATACACAAGAGCCACGTTGCGGGAAATGGTCCCCTCACTGAGGGAGCCACAGTAATCGCCTAGGAGAGTGGCTAACCTGAGGAAACAGGGCAGAGTATACATAACAATCCTCTCGGGCCCCCCTTCCAGGTGCCCAACCTAACCCTACTCACCTGGTTAGCAGCTCTAGGAGGCTGAAGGGAGAGACGTTTTCTGAAGTTGTGGCCACCAAATAGAGGCCACTATGTCTGATGTGAATGAAATGACGGTCGCCATGGTACTGTTCGGAAAAGAGGGTTGTAGTGATCAAGAGCCCATGAGATCTGAGATCTGATGTTCCTCAGAGTCATAGTAGCAGTATGCCTCTGGGCGATCCCTGAAACCTCTCAAAGGCCCGGTTTCCTAATATGTAAAGGGAGGTAACGACAAGACCTACCCCAAAGTTGTTGAAGACCACAAGATGCAAAGCACTGTTTATTGTTAGTGCTCAATAAACTTAATTTTATTTGGTGTAAATGTACACTGCCCTCTCCTGGAGAAGGCAGTCCTTGAAAAGGACAGCGGCTCACGCCTGTCATCCTAGCTACTTGAGAGGCTGAGATCAGGAGGATGGAGGTTCAAGGCTAGCCCCGACAAATAGTTCGCGAGACCCCCATCTCCAAAAATAACATGACTAAAATGGAATGGATGTGTGGTTCAAGGGGTGGAGCGCGCCTGCCTTGCAAGAATTTAAACCCCAGACCCACCAGAGAGAGAGAGAGAGAGAGAGAGAGAGAGAGAGAGAGAGAGAGAGAGAGATGAGGCGCCACTGGGCCTGACAGCTTCCAATCCCCTACCAACCCACCGAGTGGTTACCATGACAACCGGCGACTCATCTCCAGGCAGTCCCGTCAGCTTCCGGTAGAAGAGCTCAGCCACATCCCGGCCACCACTGTCCCCGCGGACTGGCCGGGTGGAAGGACAGTTAAGGAGCCGAAGACACAGACTGGCTCTGAGCTCGACTTCCATACCGCAACTCAATCCCGCCCCATAGGCCAAGGATACAGTCTTTATAGATGAGTGGGTCCCCCTTAGAGGACAGGATGAAGAACTGGGAAATCATGGCAGTTCTGGAGAGTAGACTAGAAGACAAAGTTTGGCCTGCCCCGCCTTGCGGCTCTGGAACAAAAGGACGCGCGTGGGCTGGTCCCTTAAGAGCGATTTTCCTCCGCCTAAGCCAGCTCAGACCGCGGGAAACCCAGCGCCCACTCGGCCCTGTGAGGCTATTCCTTCCCGACCCGTCCACCGCCTTGCTGTCACTCATCCCAGGGTCGCCCAGTGATTGGTCAAGGCTGGAGCCAGAGGAGGGTGGGAGAGGCAGAAAGCAGTCCACTAGGATTGGCCCGCACGGAGCGTCGCAGGTCACGTGGGGGGCGACGTTTCGCGCCAATTTCGGTTGGTCAGCCACAGTCCTGCCGCGCGGTCGTTCTCTGCTTCCCCGGAGTGAGAATCTGAAGCCCGTCAACTGCTGCGGCACAGTCCCCGGCAGCGATGGCACTTAAGGACTACGCGCTTGAGAAAGGTAAGAGTCTGCAAGCCTGGTATCTTGGCATTTTACGCGGAATCCTCCCGGCTAACACCTGTTGCTGGGGTCTGGAGAGGCTGGGGGTCGGCGGGCTCTGGGGAGCGCGAGGGCAGAGTCGGGCTGAGGCCAACAGTGCCTGGAAGGCTTTCGCGGGGGACATATGAAAATTGGCAATCTTGCTCAGGAATCGTGTTGTGTTCGTTGGAGGTGGTAACCCGACTATGGGGCTCGCCCAGGGGAGGGTGGCGCTAGGACAGACTTGCGCTTCAGGACTCCCTGTCTGAGCGCTCTTGGCTACGGAGACCGGGATTCCCGGGCCTGCCTTCCTCCGCGCCTTGGGGCACTTGCTAGTTCCCGCGTCCACCCGCGTCCGCGCCGAAGCCCCAGGGGGCGGGCGGGCCAGGGCCGCTGTGCACCGCGATTGGTCGTTTTCGGCCGCCTCGGAGCGGAAGTGAAGGCGGGCGGAAGTGGAGCGGAGCAGTCGGAGGGAGCGTCGTGTGTAAACAGTGTCCTTCCGCACGGTGGCCTCGGAGCGAGCTGCCGAGGGTGGGGGCGTGCCTAGAATTCGGAGGCTGAGTACGAGGCCACCAGAGGCGGCAGTAGGAGGGACGGAGTGGGTCTGGGCATGCTGGCCAATCGTCAGACAGGCTCCCTCTTCGGGCGGAGGAATCCCGGGCGGTGAGGTGGCTGGAATCCGGGCCCATGTGCTTCTTTGTTTACTAAGAGCGGAAGCAGTGGCGGGAGCGGGGGTGGGGTGGAGGGACGGCCTGGTGGCAGAGGTCCCGGTGAGTGCAGATACAGGGGACCCTTAGAAAAGGGAGAGTTATAAAAGTGGGGGAAAAGCCAAGAACCTTGAGACCCAAGCGTGTGTTGCGGGGATGTGGGAGCCTGTTGTGAAGGGTGGTATTCTTAATTGATAGCTGGAATTCCCCTGGGGGCGGGTGTTGGGTAAGACATAACTGCCAGGGGACCTGTGTTCTTCCCCAGGTAGGAACACACTTGTGAAAAGGAGTCCTGCCCAGTTTGGGGAGAACTAGGTGGGGTTATTTAAGTAATTCATGTAATTAGTTTGTAGATCTTATTTTAAATGAAAATGGGTTTTTTTAGACTTCCATTAGGGATTTGAAGTAAGGAACCTAAAAGGAAGAAAAATTGATTTTTATGACTTCACATTTATGTTGTAGAAAAGGTTAAGAAGTTTTTACAAGAGTTTTACCAAGATGATGAATTTGGGAAGAAACAGTTCAAGTATGGGAACCAGTTGGTAAGTTCAAGATTGGTTGAAAGGAATGGGGTGACCCTTAAGAAGCTATAAGAGGTGGCCTTCCTTGTTTTAGCAAGGATGTTTTTTCTGGCCTGGTTAGCTGTATACCTGATTAGCGAATACAGTATCACACTCATAATGATCAGGGTGTTTTTAGATGTTGGTAGGTTGTCTGTTAAGAGCTGAGAAGTATTGCTATGTTGTGCTTTTCTTTTTTCCTCTGTGGATGAACAAGGTAAACTTGGTCTTGAGATGATGTTGTCTCTTCCTCAACCCAGGTTAAGCTGGCTCATCGGGAACAAGTGGCATTGTATGTGGACTTGGATGATGTAGCTGAGGAAGATCCTGAGTTGGTAGACTCTATTTGTGAGAATGCCAAGCGCTATTCGAGGCTCTTTGCTGATGTTCTACAAGAGCTGCTGCCTCAGTACAAGGAGAGGGAGGTAAGTGTCTGCAGAACAGAGCTGGGCAAGAGATCTGAACTGTTCAGGCTTCTCAGATCCTGATGGTTTCTGAACTGGCAGAAAGGAGGAGCATTGACTGGCACCCCTGTGTGTGCTCCTTTTCCTGTCCTGTCCATTTTTTCTTGTTTTCCTTTTCCTTTAGGTGATAAATAAAGATGTTCTTGATGTTTATATTGAGCACCGACTGATGATGGAACAGCGGAGCCGGGATCCTGGGGCAATCCGAAGCCCCCAGAACCAATATCCTCCTGAGCTCATGCGCAGATTGTGAGTGTCTCTGTGGGGAAGGGGCAGAGATTTTTACTCTAGGACCTTGCTGATGATAGTTTTCTCCCCTTAGTGAGCTGTATTTTCAAGGTCCAAGTAGCAACAAGCCTCGTGTGATCCGGGAAGTACGGGCTGACTCTGTGGGGAAACTGGTAACTGTGCGTGGAATTGTCACTCGTGTCTCTGAAGTCAAACCCAGGATGGTGGTGGCCACATACACTTGTGACCAATGTGGTGCAGAGACCTACCAGCCGGTATGTGTGGAAAATAAAATAAAGTACTTGACTGTTCATTGTCTTTGTTGAAAATAATTTTATCCACTGGTGATAATTTGTCGTTTTTTCTTGATTATTGTAAGAAGTTCCTATGTTTACTTTTCATTCTTTAGTGTTCTCTTTGGCATGGAAAGGAAGTGATTGAAGTGGTGGTCGCTGTAAAGGACTTTTCTGATTTCCTTTGGTGCTTTCTTTCTAGATCCAATCTCCCACTTTTATGCCTCTGATCATGTGCCCAAGCCAGGAGTGCCAAACCAACCGCTCAGGAGGGCGACTCTATCTGCAGACACGCGGCTCTAAATTCATCAAATTCCAGGAGATGAAGATGCAAGAACATGTGAGTTTGGGGTATGTGGCCTGGGGCAGGTAGAGCTGGGAGTCCATTTGAATCTTACAGTCACCCAAGCAGTGGAAGGAAGAAAAAACAAAAGAGGAAAAGCTGAGGCAGAGAATCTACATGAAGTGGAAGGGAGCCTTAACTGGAATTTTCTGGTTTGAGTTGGGAGGAGGTAAAGGGCTCATCTTCCCTCCTGTAGTTTAGTCTGACATCTGAGATTGAGCAGACTGGGTGCCTAGGGAGGACATCCCCCACGGGCTTTATGTCGTTTTTTCCCTTATGCTCGTACTCTTCTTTTCTTTAGAGCGACCAAGTGCCTGTGGGCAACATCCCTCGTAGTGTCACAGTGTTGGTAGAAGGAGAGAACACAAGGATTGCCCAGCCTGGAGACCATGTCAGTGTTACTGGTATCTTCTTGCCAGTCTTGCGCACAGGGTTCCGACAGGTGGTACAGGTAAGAAACAGTTTGAAGTGAGAAGAAAACGGCTCCCTTTCCTCCTCATCCATTCTCTGCTCACATCTCCAGAAAATAGCAACAAAATACCAAACTAGAACAATTGCTTTTGTCAAGGAATGGTTAGGGAACCAGATGGTGGGCAAGGTAAAGAGATTTCATTCACATCCTGGCATTTTCCTTTCCGAGGGTTTACTCTCAGAAACTTACCTGGAAGCCCACCGTATTGTGAAGATGAATAAGAGTGAGGATGACGAGGCTGGGGCTGGAGAGCTGAGCAGGGAGGAGCTGAGGCAGATTGCAGGTGAGGGGAGAAGGGGGGATATGAATTCTGTCCCACTCCTTCTCCCCTCCAAAAAAAGTTCTAATCTTAACTGTCTTGTAGAGGAGGATTTCTATGAAAAGCTGGCTGCTTCCATTGCCCCAGAGATATATGGGCACGAAGATGTAAAGAAGGCTCTGCTGCTGCTGCTGGTGGGCGGCGTGGACCAGTCTCCTCGAGGCATGAAAATCCGGGGTAAGGAAAGGGGCTTGGGAAGGTAAAATCACTTGGGAGGAAAGGATGGATGACATGGATTAGTGTCCCTGGGTCACACCATGTGAATTGGTCTCTTCATGGTGACGAGGAGGGCTTAGCAGAAATAATGTAGGGTTGGGAGGGGAGGCTGACCTCAGAAGTGTTCTTTTCTATTGTTAGATAACTTGTGTTGGGACAACTTGTGTTGGCTTCCTTCTCTTCTGCAGGTAACATCAACATCTGCCTGATGGGGGATCCTGGTGTGGCCAAGTCTCAGCTCCTGTCTTACATTGATCGTCTGGCTCCCCGCAGTGAGTAGGATCAGGGATAGGGCTTGGTGTTTGTTAAAAAGGTGGAAGTGGGAGAAAAGAGCAGATCTTTGGGAGGGTTGGTGATGGAGAACCATGTTGCCAGCACAACTCTCACCTTCAGCTGCCTCAGAATGGCCTAGGCTGCAAAGAGTAGCTCCAGCCCAGGCCTTACCCATGGGCCATTTTGTTGCTTCCTTTCCCTCACCTGTTCTTGCTTTTTTCTTAGCTGTATTTTGCTTTCTCCCCTACAGGCCAATATACAACAGGCCGGGGCTCCTCTGGAGTGGGGCTTACAGCAGCTGTGCTGAGAGACTCTGTGAGTGGTGAGCTGACCCTAGAGGGTGGAGCTCTTGTGCTGGCTGACCAGGGTGTGTGCTGTATCGATGAGTTTGACAAAATGGCTGAGGCTGACCGTACGGCCATCCACGAGGTCATGGAGCAGCAGACCATCTCTATTGCCAAAGCAGGCATTCTCACCACACTTAATGCCCGGTGCTCCATCCTGGCTGCTGCCAACCCTGCCTATGGGCGCTACAACCCCCGTCGCAGTCTGGAGCAGAACATACAGCTTCCAGCTGCACTGCTTTCCCGATTCGACCTGCTCTGGCTGATACAGGACCGACCTGACCGAGACAATGACCTTCGGTGAATGAAGCTTGTCACACGGAGACCTTTCTGGTAGTTGGGAGGAAGGGAGGTGAAATCAGAAAACCCCTCAACTCCTCTGCTCATGGAAACTGCAGAGGTTTCTCTTACAGCATGACTGGTCCACAGTTCTTGGGGAGATAGGGCTGAGATATTAATGAAGGTTTTCTGAGAGGTCTGATGACCCTGCCACACAGGTGGGGAGAAGAAGTAGGGTTAAAAATGGATGCTGATAGGGCTTGGTGTGTGTATCCTTAAGGAGCATTCTTGCCTCACTCTTCCCAGGTTGGCCCAGCATATCACCTATGTGCATCAGCATAGCCGGCAGCCCCCTACCCAGTTTGAACCTTTGGACATGAAGCTTATGAGGTAGGGCTGGTTAGGGTCTGGTATGCATGAGGAAGCCCACAGTGCCTGGCAGTGTGTTGAGGTGTATTATTTTCACTACTGCTATTCCCCTTTTCAGACACTGTTGAGCCTAATGGCGCACATCTGTAATCCCAGAATTGGGAAGACTAAGGCAGGGATATCTTGAATTGGAGGCCAGCCTGGGCTATATAGGAAGAATGTCTCAAAAAAAAAAAAATCTTTTTTTCAGGCACATCCACTGGTGGGCCTGCCTTGGAGTAAGGCTGGTCCTCCTTTTTGGTTGAGCTGGATGTGCTCCACAGATACCTGATAAACTCTTTTCAACACAGGCACACAGTGATCCTTTAGGTTCTATTCACGTTCACAGATTCTGTTCAAGTCAACAACTCGCCTTGTTTTTGTTCTTTTAGCTATGTTATAAATTCAGGGGGAACTGGATTATCTCGTGACAGGTAGATTTGTCTTACTCTTGTAAAGAGCTTTTTCCTGAAAAGTTGGAAGGAATTTGAGATATGCTGGCAGCGCTGCATTTGGAGAAATTCCTCAGTGATGCTTAAGCCAGGCAAATACTCATCCACTGATTTTTGTGTGTGTTTGTGTACTTTAAAGACTTTTCCAAGAATTTTGTTACATGGGAAACCCTTATGTAGAAGGCATGCCTGTGCGCTCCGCTCCCCATCTCCTTTCCTGCTTTCCCACAAACTCCCACAGACGCTACGTAGCGATGTGCCGTGAAAAGCAGCCCACAGTCCCAGAGTCTTTGGCTGACTACATCACAGCAGCGTATGTGGAGATGAGGCGGGAGGCTTGGGCCAGTAAGGACGCCACCTACACTTCTGCCCGGACCCTGCTGGCTATTCTCCGACTTTCCACTGCTCTGGTGAGTGTTGGGTCTGTCATGCTGGAGGGCGGCCTGTCTTGACCTTACCTGGCAGTTTCTCTTAATATGGTCCTCTCTGCCTCCTCCCTTCCACCAGCCCTGCCGGGGCTAAAGTGCTGACAGTGCAGATAGTGGTCCTCTCCGTGCTACCGCACTGTGGGTACTTGCTGCTCCAGCAGGGCACGCACAGCGCCTGTGAAGGGAAAGGCCTTGCTGCTTCCACCTCAGGGGTGGTGGGTTCATTTCATTCCTCGGGTTGTAGATCCTGTGCTATAAATTTTCATTTCTGTTTTCACATCCTGGACCTTAGTCATGGGGGCTCCAAAGTGCTGTTCGTGCAGGTAGTGTGATTACCTGACCTACTGCTGAGCTAGCACTTCCCGAGCCCCCAGGACACAATCTCTCTGCCAGTCGCCTTCTTGGCTGAGCTCCCCAGGCTCCATCTGTCATGGTGGGGAGCCCAGTGGAGTTCAGAAGGCTCTGGTCTCCCTCACAGGACAGCTGAACACCGGGACTGGCCAGTGTTGAGAGGCGGAGACTTGGGCAATTGCTGGACGCTGCCCTGGGCATTGCACTTGTCTCGGTCTGACAGTGCCGGCCCAACACTACGGATGTGGGGGTGCAGGGAGGGTCCCCATTCTTGTTCTATGAGTAGGCAACACAGCTTGTCCAGCCTTAAAGCTGGAACAAGGAGGGTCCCTGACTTTGCTCCATTCCCCTCCTTCTGTCCCAATCTCTCCTCTGCCTTTCCCTTAGGCACGCCTGCGAATGGTGGACACAGTGGAGAAGGAAGACGTGAATGAGGCCATAAGGCTGATGGAGATGTCTAAGGACTCACTTCTAGGCGACAAGGGGCAAACAGCAAGGTGAGTGGCTTAATGAAGGATGAAACTGGGTCACCATGACTTTGAGATCACTTTTCTGGGTTCTCCGCCAGGAGCTTATGAGGTCGGCCTCCAGTTTGTAACACTGACCATTGTTCTCTGTTGGTGTCGAGTATAGTCTGTCTTGACTTTTGAACACCCGTGTTGTTTCCCTTCAGGACCCAGAGGCCAGCGGATGTGATATTTGCCACTATTCGTGAATTGGTGTCAGGGGGCCGAAGTGTCCGGTTTTCCGAGGCAGAGCAGCGCTGCATATCACGTGGCTTTACACCTGCCCAATTCCAGGCAGCTCTAGATGAGTATGAGGAGTTAAACGTCTGGCAAGTCAATACTTCGAGGACAAAAATCACCTTTGTCTGAATGCATGCCAACCTGCTCATTTGAAGGTTTATGCCTTAATGGTGCCCTGGAAGGGAAGGAGATCCCCTTTTTCCCCATGCTGCACTTATTTCATTCCTTTTGCTAATAAAGTGTGTTGATTGTCACCTTCTGGCTTAGACCTGACTTGTGTTAAAGTAGCATTGTGAAGTGTTTTTTGTTTTTTTGCGGAACTGGTGTTTGAGCTCAGTGCCTACACCTTGAGCCACTCTACCCACCAGCCCTTTTTTATGATGGGTTTTTTTTTTTTTTTTTGCTGGTGGAGTGGCTCAAGTGGTAGAGCACCTGCCTAGCAAGTGTGAGGCCCTGAGTTCAAATCCCAAAAATAAAAAATATGATGGGTTTTTTCAGTAGGGTCTTGTGAACTATTTGCCCGGCTGGCTTTAACTGCGATCCTCCTGATCTCTGCCTCCTGAGTGGTTAGGATTATAGGCGTGAAACACTGGTACCTGGCTGTTTTTTAAGATTCCTATCTTGTTCCCTTTTATGCTTTGTCCTATTTTATCCACTCAATTCGTGTAAAGTTCATGCTCTACCTGCCAAACACAACAGACACTGGGTGCGCAGCATGGACTAAGATGTCTCTAATGTATGAAGATCATACTAGGCTGGGTCTCAACTTTTTTAAGATCACTTTTTTTATAACCCCCCCCTCCCCTGGCTAATCTCAGATACTTATTGAAACTGACTGTACCCATTAGGCTCTGGGTATATAACAGTATGAGTGAAAGTCCTGTCAAGCCCCCCCCCCCTTTTTCCATTTCTATTGAAATGCTCCTATCACCTACCTCATTCCTATTTAGGCCCCCAACTCCCTCTATTTAGGGGTATAGAAATCAGGGAACCACAGGGAGACAATGTAGCACCTGGCACAAATAATTGCCTACACTGATCCCAACCTTTAGATCCCTTCCTGCCCTCCAGAGTGGATGATACTAACCTATTGGCCCAGGGTGAGGCACATATATCAATGGGCACCAACAACCTGGTGCCCAAGGAATCGAGGTTTTGAGGAGTCCATAAAAATGTGCTTAACATCCCTCCCCTTTTTCTAATGTGAGAAACACTTGCAATGAAATTAACTTGAAAGCAGTCATTTGTTGTCTTTATCGGGTTGGCCTGTGTAAACTCATACAGGTAACATTAAAGACAAAACAAAGCCCCATTTAGGTAGAAGCAGGCAGCTTCTGACTCAGTATAAAGACAGTCCACCTGACAACATGGAGCCACCTCAAGTAGTGGTGAACTTGCAGTCACTGAAGGGGTGTCAGGAATTGACCACAGGGATTCTGCCTCAGCAAGGCTGCAACACAGGGCCTTTAAGATCCAAGTTGAGAACCAGTGTGTGGTGCCTAACAGAGAGGACAAAGCCACCGGAAGGGATGCTGAGGGGCTGTTCCCCTTTTATTAACAGCAGTTTCTCTAGAGGGAGTGTAGCTCCCGGCCCCTTTGGACAGTTGTCTGTCCCCTGTGCCTGATCCCTTTGAAGTACCCTCAGAAGAAGAGTCCCCGCATTCTCCTGCCAATTCCTTGTCGGTCGTAGAGGACATTGAACTTGTTCACAAACTGGTTCATGGTGTTGCAAGTTTTGGTGATGGTGCCAAGGTAGGCCATGAGCCCCACATCATTGCATTGCTGGGAGGGAACAGAAAGAACCAGTTCCCCAGGGGATCTTCACATGTCCAAGGGACAACTGAATCTCACACCCTGTCTGCAAAAACAATGGCATAAACCCGGCCTCCCCATCCTAGGGTTTACACTCACATCATAGAAGTCTGTCTTGAACTTGTCTGTGCTGAGCACTGGGAGGCAATGACACAGAGCGTAGGCCTCCCGCAGGATCTCATGGTTGAAGGGGACCTCTCCTAAGGACACAAAGGGGCTGCATTAATGTGGATGCTGCCACTTCCCCAGGATGGAGAGGAAAAATGGTAAAGAGTACCAGGTAGACACCTGACCTACCTGCTTCAGAGGCCTTGACATACTCCAAGATGAGCTTGACACGGCTGTGCAACATCTTAATGGCGCTATGCTGTGCTATCAGGTGTTCAGCCACTGCAGGGGGACAGGGACAGATGAAGAAAGAAGGCACGAAGCCATGTCTTCCACACGCATCCCTCTACCCCACTTCCAAGGAACCACTTCACTTACCAGTGGAGTTCTCCCCACTGCCTGTTGCAGTCATCCGAGCGACGTGGTCTACACCAATTCGTTCAGCTTCCTCAGTGGCCAGAGTGTAGGTCAACTCAGCAAACAACATTGTAGCCTGTAAGGCAGAGTTTCCCACATAGGGAGAGTCAAAAGCAGACGATTTAAAAGCAGAATCTAAAGATTGACGGGTAGGGTATTACCTCTCCATTGATTATATCGATGACAGACTCAAAAACACTGACAGGAAGCTGTAAAGAACAGGTGGAGAACAGCTCTTACTACAAGTAAATGCACCTGACCTATACTATGTGCCAAGGGCTGGCTAGCCCACTGCACACATTTTTTTCTTACCTAATTTCCCAGAAACCCACTTTATGTGTGAAAATACTGCTTAGAGGATAAATGACTAACCCTAAGACACACAGCTGGAGGGTAAGTGGCACTTCCCCGCAGAGGTATCACACAACATAGCAGGGGATGATTAAAAACAGGCATAATGATACACAGGCATGTCCAAGGGGTCATGTAATACTCACATCTGTGTGCTTGGTCATAGGGTTCAACTTAAGAAAGAGGGGGCTCTCAATTATCTCGCACACCTGGAAGAGTGGGACGATATACAAAGAAGTCAATGCCCCATCTTTCTTCTTGCCCTTATCCTCTAACTCTTCTCCAGCATGCACACATGTCAGCATGTATACCTGCTTATGGACGTGGATGTCAGAGGGGTCAGGAGGCCCTCCTGTGGTATACCAACCCAGAAACTCCAGCTCCTTGAACACCTGTTTAACTGGACAGGAAGGGGCCAGAGCAGACAATATTTCCTTAAACCATTCTTTGATAGTTTGTATTTTTACCAGCTCCTCCTTTCTTCCCTCCCTCCTCAAATCCTGGCTCAGTTTAGAATACTTACTCCTTTCTATTCTGTCTTCTCTGATCTATGTGTTGTTGGGGGTGGGGGAATCCCTATATGCTCTTTTTCTGAGATTTCTGCAGGTGTTCTCCATTTCCCTCTTCTGTTCTCATTCTCCTTTCCTGTTTATTCCTTCCTAACTCTAGATTTTCCCCACCTTGTGCTTTTTTCTCCCTTTCTTTTTTTTTTTTTTTTTTAGGAAAAATCTCCCACTCCTCTTCCCCACTTCTATTCCCCTCTCACACTGCTCCTCCTTGGTGTAATAATATTCTTTGTCAATGATAATCTTCTCTTCCACGGTGTGGGACAGCAGCTCAAAGGAGTTCATCACCTCGATATTTCGGCCCTCTTGCTTCCCGATCAGAGCCCCAATCACTGGGGGGGCAAAGAAGGACACAGACAGATAAGGAGAAGGCATCTACAACTTTTCTCTCATCACTTGAGGGTCTGAGTGAATCAAGAATTGGGGAAACAGTGATTGGGGGAGAGGGAATTGGCTTTAGTAAAGGAAGGGGAAAAGACTATTTTGGGGGAAGGCTGTCAAGGACAGGGGTTGCAGATTTCTGCAGAACACTCACCCTGCATAGGCCGCCCCTCCTGGGAGCGCATGCGGATCCAGTGATCTGAGATGTTGAGAATGACAAGGGGATGGAGAGCGACAGAAACACTCCCAGTCACTCCGGAGGCCATCACGCTGGGGACTACTAAGGGTGCAGGGAAAAGAAAGAAGGTGAAAGTCCGTGCCCCACATTTTTCCCTAGAAATGGGAGTTGAGGACAGCAGAAACAGGACTGGCCGTACATCCCTCCTGCAAGTTACCAGGGAGAAGATGTCGCTTCTCTAGGGAGCCCAGGAAGACCTTAACGCACCCAGAAAAGGTGTCTCCAGAAGCCGCCCCACACGGTCCGTTACCTGCTGCATCCACCTCCATCCCGCTGCTCCCTCCAGTCCCATTCGCTGCAGCCGCCGCCGCCGCCATTTTCCCCGCGCCCGCCAGCCTGGGCCCCGCCCCCTCCCTTCCCGGCTTCCGTCGGGCAGCGGCGCATGCTCAGTGTCCGTGGGCGCCTGGCCAGGGGGGTGGGAGGGGAGGGGAGCGCGCGAGGAACGCCGGGAGCTGGGGGCGTGGCCACCTCCGGACCTCGCGTAGCAAGGAGTTTTCTGGTCCCAGGAGCCGAAAGGGTTTTCCAGTCTCTTTTCCATCCTCTCACTTTCAGGTGTCTTTGAACAAATCACTTTAACTCCCCGCCCCAGCTTTATTATCATCACCAAAGTTGGGATGAGGATGCCTAGTTTTTTGGTTTCTTAATGGGACTGGGGTTTGAACTCAGGGTTTCCCTCAGGGTTACAAAGCAGACGCTCTACCACTTGAGCCTCTCCTCCAGTCCATTTTGCTCTGGTTTTTTTTTTTTTTTAAGAGATAAGGTCTCACGAACTATTTGCCTTGGCTGGCCTCCAGCCGTGATCCTACCAATCATGGACTCCCAAGTAGCTAGGATTACAGTCGTGAACTGTTGGTGTCTGGTGGATGCCCACTTCTTAAAAGGTACTGCAGAGTAAATGAAATGTCATGTGTTGTCTTTTGAATGAAATCCAGATTTCTTACCAGTGCCTCCTAGTCAGCTCTGGACTCTGCTTTACTTGGTCCTCGTTCTTCAGTCACACTGGCCCTTCTGTCATGTTTTCTATGTGCCTAACTCTCTCCCACTTAATGGCTTGTTTGCTTTTGTTCAGCAGTTTATCTCCTGGGATTGGCACTAGGGCTAACACATAATTTTTTAAATATATGACCAAGCAAGTTGCATACATTATCTCACCTGATGCACCTACAGTTTGTTGTTCTGGCTGTCTTAATATGTGTCTGCACCCCTCAGCCAAAGTGTAACCTCCTAGAAAGTCAAGAGAGACTTGCGTCTTGATCCTATGGAACCTATTTTGTTACCAGGAGATGTTTCCTGGTGGTAATGGTGACTTACAAGAGAAGTAAGCAATCTCTGTACTTAAGGAGCCTAGATAAGAAAAGCTGAAGGATCAACAACGTTCAAAGGAAGGGATCTATAGCCAGATATACTGGTATGAGCTGTAATCCCAGCACTCGGGAGGCTGAGGCAGGAAGACCAAGGGTTCAAAGCCAGCCTGGACTACGTAGCAAGTTCTAAGCCAGCCTACTACAAAAAGAGACACTGTCTGAAAAAAGGAAAGGGATCTTCTGGCCAAGGGGAAGTTAAGAAAGAATTTATCTCATTCTTCATTCTAGTCTCCAGTGAAAAACTTCCCAGGTCTGGGCCTAATATGGGGTAGGCAGGTAGAAAGAGAATAACAATAGCACAAAGGAGCCTGGGAACAGGTGCAGCACCATATCCAGGTACATTTTGCTAAACATTCTGCTCCACCATTGTTCTGGAGTAACAGTTGATTATGGTTGAGGCTACTTCTTGGTATAGCAGCCAATAGTCTCCACTAACAATCCAACAAACACTTTCTCAACTCTAGAGGTTAGCCTGAAGCCTCATTTGCATCTCACTATAGTTGCAGTTTCATGCAGGCACCTCCCCTCAGATCACCATCTTGGCTCTGAGGACACTTTTATGTAAACCACTTCTTATTCTCCAATTCTTGGAAGTGCCCTCCCATTTCTTGAGATGATTAGCATATCAGTAAACCCTATCCATAAAAGTGCCAAAGACTTAGAACTCAATGCACTTGACTGCTAGGTCAAGCTGCCAGCCCTCAGTTTTCTATGGCTATTGGAAGGACTTTGGCTTTCAGTCTGAGTGAAATCCAAAGGAGTGACATAATCTGACTCAAGTTTTCAAAGGATCATTCAAAAAGTAAAGGAAAAACTAGAAAAGGAAGAAAAGACTACCCAGACTGATGTGTGGTTTTTAGACTAAAGGGAAAAAAACAAACAAAAAAATCCCTAGTATTCCAAGTGAGAGATGACAGTGACAAAGACTAGGGCAGTAGTCCATTTTGCTCTGTTTTTTGGAGATGGGATCTTGCAAGCTCTTTGCCTGGGCTGGCCTGGAACTTCAGTCTTCCCGATCTCAGCCTCCCAAGTAGATAGGATTACAGATATGAGCCAAAAATCAGGTTGAGAGCCCTCACCAGAACCTGAATCAGCTGGCACCTTGATCTTGGATTTCCTAACCTCCAGAACTGTGAGAAAGAAATGCCTGTTATTCAAGACCCCCAATTTATGGTATTTTTTATAGCTGCTCAAGCTGTCTAAGTTAGGAGGTTAAGGGGATCCCCTGTAGGAGCTGGGATTGTTGCTTTTCCCCCATGGCCTCAGAATTGGTGCATTGCATCCCAATAGCTATAAAATTTCACATTTTTCTCCAATTATCCCCTATTTGTATCTGAACCTTTTATCCAGAAGGGTCAGGTGTGAGTAAGGGAGTTTTTCACAAAATTTACAGATTCATTATAATCCCATGTTTTAGTCAGCGTTCACTAGAGGAACAGAATCAATAGAATAGATACATAATTATAAAAGGAGATTTACATTCAATTAAAATTAATTATACAATTAGAGCCAGAGAACCTGATAGATGATTAGTCCAAGATGAGAGCCTCAGAACAAGAGGCACCAGTTATGCAGCTCCAGTCTGAGGCTGTCTCGGGAGTCGCTGGTGTGAGTCTATGTTAAGATGAAGAAGCTAGAGTCTGTTGTTCACAGATGGTGGCAGCAACAATACACACTCCTTCAAGAAGAATGGAACTTGCACATGGATTCTGGCATGCTCTTTTTCTTCAGTTATTCCGTCCAAGTCCCCAGCCCATTGGCTACCCACATTCAGGGTGGGTATTTCCCTCTCAGTTGCTGTTCCATGTGCCAATCTTCCATGGAAATGCCCCTCACAGACATACCCCAAAAAGTGCTTTACTAATCTCCTAGGTGTCTCTCAGTCCAGTCCAGCTAGCAATCAAGATTAACCCTTATATCTCACGTAGGCACATGTATTAGTTTCTTATTTGTTGTTTAGCAAATTGCCAAAATTAATGGCTTAAGACAACCGAAATATATCCTCTTAAAGTTTTGGAGACTGGAAGTCTAAAATAGGTGTCACTAGCCTGAAATCAAGGTGTCTGTATAAAAGAGAGTCCACATGCTTGTCTTTTCCAGCTTCTTGAGCTGCATTTCTTGGAGTTCATGGTCCCTTCCTCCATCTTCAAAGACAGCGTGTTAGCATTGCAATTCTTTCTCTCTATTCCTCTGCACCTCATCTCGTCACACTGCCTTCCTCTATAGTAGGCCCCCCCCCTTTTTTTTCCACTGCAGTACTAGTGTTTGAATTCAGGGCCTCATGCTTGCTAGGCTGACGCTCTACCACTTGAGCCACTTCACCAGCCATATAGTAAAGTCTCTTTCTGCCTCCTTATAATGAGGACACTTGTGATTACATTGGGTTCACTGGGATAATTCAGGATAATTTCCCCATCCCAAGATCTTTAATCACATCTGCAAAATTCCTTTTGCTGTATAAAAAAACATTGGTGGGTTCCAGGGATTAAGATCTGGGTATCTTTGTGAGTCATGGTTCAGCTGGCTGTAAATGTGTAGGGGAGTGGTAGAATAGAGTCTCAGTCAAGTGGTCATCGTCTTTGTTTTCTAGGACCATGTCAGCTCAAAAAGAGAGTCCTGGTGGCTAGACCAGAGTTAAGTTTTAATCCTCTAGGCCAAATTTTTGGTGGCTTTGCACAAGGAGAGTGTGCTACTCAGATGGACCAGAGGTAGCCATTTGCAGGGGAGAAGCATTGAACTAGTGAGGCAAAAAGCTAAAATTTCAAAATAAGTCTATAGTCATTTTATCCTGATCATTACCCAAGAGATGGCCAAGAGGAGGTGAACCCTTTTGGAAAATGGCCACATGCAGTGTCTAGACTCTTACTGATCAGGCGGAGAGGAGGGAGATAGGGCTGACTTTGCAGGAGGTTCCTCTTGTGCTTGACACCCAGATGCTAAATTATAGGGAATGTGAACCTTTTGATTATTGACCAATGTTGCTAATACTAGGCTGCAGTGTTTCTAGGAAGTCTAAAATATGGAAGGATTTAATTTAAAAGGCCTTGGAAAGAGATCAGGTGAGGCCTAAGGGTAGCCCCTAAAGGGTGTCAAAGGTCCCATGCAGTCAACTGACCAGAAGCTGGAGGGAGCTTCTGGGCAGTGCATGTTTTACAAGCAACTTTATGTTAGTCCCATCAGAGAACAGGTTCCACTGGGAGCATCAACATGAATGACTCAACTGTCAAATCACAGCCAAGATTTTTTTCTCCATAGTTCATGGCCCTGAAAGATGTGACTTTAAGTTTCCATATGTTTTTTTTTTTCTTTCATTCTGTCTTTTGTTTCTTTACTTTCCTTTTTTCAGTACTGGGGCTTGAACTCACAGCCTTCACTTTGAGCCACTCTACCAGTCCTATTTTTGTGAAGGGTTTTTTGAGATAGGGTCTCATGGAACTATTTGCCCAGGTTGGCTTTGAAACCTCGATCCTCCTGATCTGTGCCTCATGAGTAGCTGGGATTACAGGCGTGAGCCACCAGCGCCCGGCTTTTACTTTCCTTTTGACATTAT